CATAAAGAGAATTTAGCAACATTGAAAGGCCGTTTGCAAATGCTTTGAATGTAGGCTCAAAAACGATAGATGTATTTCGTACCACAACGTTTATATTAAAGCCACAATTTGTATACTGCTTAAAATAATTTTATTTAGTATATTGGATCGAAATATGCATTAAAAATAAATTTTTAATCCGGCACTAATCTAAAAATTATACTTACACCAACGTCCTTGAGATAATTAATATAGTCTTCCATCGAACGTAAGCACAAATTTCGTAGTTGATCTTCCATGACGTAGGCAAGACAATTAAAGAATCTATTATATTGCGGATTATTTACAGATGGTAGAGTTCCTTTCTTCGAAGCCTATTGATGTAGAGATTTTGACAACAGGTACGAATTAATATCTATAAGAAGTGTTTCTACCGTTTAAGGCTTAAGTTATACAGCGAATTTCTTACTATAAGTAAAATATTGCAGATTCTTGGCAACCATCGTTTGAGAAGATCGTCGCTCGTATCTTTAAGAAGTCTTAAGAATTCATAATCAAATTTTGAAAGATCGTACGATTGTCTGTACGATGTCAGCTCTCGTATGTCTATTTGTCTGGCCTTTCTATGAATTACGAGATTATACTGGACCAAAAATCATTTCATGTATAATAATATTCTGATGCTATATGCCATTTCAGTTTACTAACCCATATTCACGATACCAGTAATCTAAAGTTTTGCGTATGCACGGGTGATACAGCATAATCGATCTCTTCTCCAATTTTGCTCTTCTTTGTTTATATTTAATACAGTACTCCAGCGACAATTCGGTGATTTCTCGGGAGAGCAACGGCTGCAATGTGTAATCGGAATGTGTAATCGCAAAAAGCAATCGAGTGTAAAGAGCAGCGACCGTATAGGATTATTGACAAAAGGGCATGTTGAACCCAACATCAGGCATTCAAAATTTTTACTGCCCGTGAAATAATACTTTCTCATATACCTATATCATTGTAGACATTTGGAGAGTAGTGTCTCGGCACTAAGATAAACGCAGTGACGTCATAGCGCGAGACCAGCAATGCTTCTTTATGCAATAATACTTACCGGAGCAAAGAGCGCCTCCTCGAAGGGTTCCTGCAGCACAAAGTCAACGATAGATTTTTTCATGTTCGTAACATAGTCACTTTGTAATTCTCTAATCATTTGATTGAAGCATTTGTTGTATTTCTTCTGCCATTCAGCGGACACCATGCTCGTTATCTTCTTTAACGTGTCAGAATCTAAGGTACCTGCATGAGTGGCGTCAACCTCATGAAGAAGATAGTAGTAATACCTTAAGAGATTTTTGTCTTTTTCCGTGAGCCAAATGTCATCAATATCGATGTCGCTCAAAGTTGCTGTTGTTTGTCCGCAAACGTTATCATCTAAAATCATACATTCCTTTGCATAGTCACTACAAATTTCTATCTTGTCTTCGTGACATATTTCGTTGTATCTCATCGGTCCTTTGATCTTCCTGATCAGATGCATTCGAAATTCAGATCTCTTCTGACATAGTGACATATAATAATCATCTTTGGAAGATATTTTTTGCTTTTTCTTTAGTGCCATGGTGCTGCTTTAAATTTATTTAATAATTTTTTTGACAAAATTTGATATATACTTTATACAGAAAATAGAAATACGTAATCAAGCATTATAACGTATTTATAATGTTATTTGCAAGAAACAAACAATATTTTACCAACTGCTAGTAGCTTACCTTTTTGAAGACGAAGCTTCACATTTTTGTGGCAAATTGAAAATCTCCGGTTCATCTTTAATATATTTTTTTAAACGATCATATGTCTTCCGATGCACGTGATAACTTTTAGAAAGCTTAGTATTTGGGCAATACATGTGGGAAGTGGATTTTATCCAATCGCAATGTTTTTTACGAGATTTCCTAACGAATGATGAATTTCCTAACTCCTCGCTTTGCTTTGTCAATTCTGTGCATGATTCCGATTTATAAATGTCAATTCCTTCATCGCTTTTATCTTGCTCTATAATTTCTTCCTTTCTTTGACTTCTATCTTTTTCTTGTTCACAACTCAGGTTCTCCATCGTGTAATTCCAAACTTTTACTTTCTTTTTATCAGAATTGTCCCACTAATGTAAATTTTAGGCATTAAGTGTGTACGTGATTTGAACAGAAAATCATAAAAAAAAATCACTCAACCTCTTCCTTTACAGTACAACTTACCATTTTACTCGCTTTATAAGGGTTACGTTACCATAGCAGTCACAATAACATGTTACGTCAATCCATGTCAATCGTACATACATAAATTCATATTTGCTTGTATTCAGAATGTTCTTTTATCGATAAATACATTTTTATACCTGAAATTCTATAGTATACATGTAACATGAACTAATACTAAATATAATATTAACATCGTAAAAGTGCATTCTGAATATAGTTCGATATCTTTACTGTTAATTGTTGTTGATATAAAAATTGTTAACATATAATAATGCAATACGCATTAATAATGCAAAAAATAATTGAAAACAAGCATTGTGCAAAAACATAAAATTTATTTTGGGAAATACACATTTACATTTAATAAAGAAATGAAGGCTGAAGGATGTAAAAAAAATGATAGATGTCTATTCCTTTTAACATAAATATTTATTGTGTATTTATATATGTGACATTATTTTCAGAATAATACTTTCATAAGTATAGTGAATATCTGTCGATATATGTCGATATAATCTGATAGTTTGATATCTATCAATGGCCGCTAGCTTGCGACTTTGCGGCACCGAAGATATGAAGATAACGATGCAATATAATACATTTCCTTTATATATCGAAGATTTCGCAAAATATAAAGT